CCATCCCCTTCTACTATCTACTTCGTAAGGTGTGAGAGCCGTGCTGAGAGGATGAAAGGCTGACCTAGTGCCAGTCCTGAACGGCCTGCGGGAACTATGGGCATGGTACTCCCGACTAATCTAGCCCTTACCTTCACTAGCGATGGAGGTGGACCGGTTGATGCCTTTTACATAATCCAGGTTCCCCATGACCAGTAATGAAAATGTAATCCTTTATTAGAGGCAATGAGGCTAGCCCCTTTATCAAATAGCCCCAACCCAGGCTCTCCTTTGACCACGGCTCCGAACACTGAAACTACTACCCACTCCTCAATGCCTACTAGTGCATTACCCACCCAAGCAGAGAATCAATCTCCAGAAGACATTCCTACCCACCCAACTTCCTCAAATTCATCAACTCTACCCCGCAACCTTCATCAAGCAACCAATCCTCCCTTATTACTACCTTGCAGCCTTATTCTCCATCATTCCGTAATACTCCCTCTTCCACACGTCCCCAGCCATCCACCACCACCAACCCTACAGATATCTTAAATACTCTGTTTAGCCCAGCTAAATGGGACCGATTTTTCGTGATCCCTGCTACAGCTCCTTACTCAGGCAACACTCTTCTCTTTCAACAATGCCTCCAAAAACAAGTAGGCAGAGTCCCTTTTTACCAGACGCGATCGCTCCCGTCTGGTAACAGTCAGATCAGAAACTGAATCTAAGCACTATCAAATTTAACTGATCATTCTGGCAACCCCATTCCTGCAGAACCTCATCCAACCCTTAATACCTGTACCGTAACTGTCTCTCTCTCCCCAGCAAACTGCCCAGTCGATACCAAAGATTGGTCAGACTGTGGAGAAGACTTATTAGGATGCCTCAAAGACCAAGATGTGAAATCAGTACGTTGCTACAACATTCCTCCTCAAGGTCAACGATCTACATCTCTCAGACCAATTCCTTTGCCACTCTAAACCCAGACACCCCAATCTCAACCACAGCTACAATCTCAACTACAGCCCAACACCAACCCCTCTTCCTCACCGCACTACCCGCAGTAGACAGACTAAATGTTCTAACCCTTCTTCCCCTACAGCACAATCACCTCCACCTACCTATACCTTTATTCCTGAGACACCAGTCTCCTCTCCCCCCCTCATAAGAAAACCTTTATCCCACAAAACTCTCCAACCAACTCCATTGCAGAAACAATGGATGACATTCAAAGCTATATGCTTGAGACACAAGATCCCATAACTCATGTCCTTCCACACTTAAAGTTGTTTCCGATATTCATACCCTCCTACTAATATTCCCCCTACACCCCTTCCTCCTACTCCCTCTCAACACAACCTAACCCCCTCAATTCCGTCCACCTCCGATATCCATCCTCCTGATATCCATCCCCCTCTTACACACCCTACACCCCTTCCTCCTAATCCCTCCAAGACAACACATCCCCTTCAACTCAAACTATCCATCCTTCCGATATCCACCCTCCTACCACTAATACTCCCCCACATCTACTCCCAACACAACCCACCCCTTCAACCCCAACTATAGGCACATTCTCCCTCCCTCCATCCCTTTTGCACTCCCTCCCGGATACACACGAGAATCACTCATGTCACAACAATGCCCTCCCCAAATTCCCTACCTCCTAATACCCCTCCTTCACACCCCCTAGCTCCTTCTCCCCCAGATTCCCCAATACGTACCGTATGCGATATCACGCATAAGCTATAGCTCTCCTACATTGGAATATTCGCGGTTTCCGTTCTCATAAACCAGACCACGTCATATCCTTGCTTCTTATAATCCATCTATTATCTGCCTCCAAGAGACTTTCCTCACACACCCTCCTATTCCAATTCCCAATTACCATTTTATCTCTTCCCCACACTCCCTTTATGTCTCGTCTATACTTATCCATCATAAAACACCTTGTGTCATACCTCCCATACAAACTTCTGTCCCGTGCACAGCTATTCGCATATTTCTTCGCCGCTGGCTCACAGTGATTTCAGTCTATTTCTCCCCATCCCATCCCATTGACTTTACTGCCTTTGAAACTCTAATTTCCCAACTCCAACCACCTTTCCTCGTAGTTGGTGATTTCAACTGCCGCCACACTCTGTGGGGTGACTATGCCGCAATGTCCACATCACCTCAACTACGCTCCTCACATATTCCAGCTACGGATTATTACCCCCACTTTAAAACCTTCTTGTATAACTGGATGGCAATCTTTTTGTCAAGACCACAACAATAAATTACATATAGTAAAACCTTCAATCTCCTCTTGGTCAGCTCCATTTCACAAAAACAGACGTTGGGAGACGGCCCTCGCACGCTTACGTATTGGCCACACTCGCCTATCTAATGTCACGCTCAGACCCGTCCCTATGTCCTTTATGTAACGTCCCTCTTTCAGTTCCACACATTCTCTTGTCCTGTCCACATTTAATACTGCACGTACCTCTGCTTTTCCACACCTATCCTCCAACATAGACATCCTTACAGAATCAACCTGTTCTCCTTCCTCAGACGCATGAATATCCTTCACTTGATCTAACTCCCTTACCTGAACCACCATAACCTTTTCCCCCATCAACCTTTCAATACTAACTCTAGATAGTTGACACATAGCAACTATCACCTGACATCCCCTTTACTATACCTTCCTATAGTGCTATATGACCTTAGATGTCTAGTACATTTATTTTAACCATTAATTAACCATTACCCTGCAGTTATATTTAAGCATCATTTCCAGTGTCTTGACACCATTCTCATAACAAAAATTTTAAGGGCAGTCATATAAAGAGTTCTAAACACAAGGTTGTGGATACCACAAGCTTGGCAGACCTGTTACTAAATTAGTTCCCTGTGTAGGCCAAGAACTTACCTCTGATTCCCCAGTAGATCAGTTTTCTCCAGAATTGTTAGATGACTTACCTTTTCAAAAGCCTTCTCCAGGTCAAGGAACACAGCTACTGATGTAAGAGTGTTGGTGGTGCTCAATAGGGTGTTTATGCTTAAAGCTGTATGTGAACTCATAAAGGTTTTCCTGTTGCCAATGTCTTGGCCAGACAGCTGAGGAGAGAAATAGTGATATGTCTCCTGGACTCCATAGGTTTTTGAACAAGTATTATGCCAGCTCTCTTCCCATTTTTGGGGACAGTTGGATTCTCTCAGAGAATATCAGTGTTCACCTAGTCTTACATTACATCTTTAGCACCATTAAGAAAAACATGGCATCTGAGTCAGCATTGCTTACCCTGCCTTTGATGAGGGCAAGTCTACCAGCTCTAAGGCATTCCTGACTTGTTCTCAACCCTGCTGGAGATCTTCACCACCTCTCAAATCTGAAGCCTCTGTCTGTCTGTTTCTGATTGTGGTTCATAATGTACATTCCTGCGGGCTAAGTCTGCATGACATGGTGCCACAGCTCTTTAAGGGATGTTTAGTGGCCAAAGGACCCACACTATTCCAAACACTGTTCCTGCCTGACCCATTTGGCATTTCCTTGGCACCCTTATAAACCTCCTTCAGGAGAGCTTGATTTTCGGGGGTTCTCTGCCTTCTTAAATGCTTCTTGGAAATGGTGTCTCAATGGCAGACCTCCTTATCATAGCATTGTGATACAAAGAGTCCTTGTGATCCCTGGACCATTTTCAAATTTTAGGAATGGTATGTGAAGCTACAAGGTTTGACTAGTTTGGCCAATCTGTGGGGTCATGGTAACCAAGTGATATCTATATCACACTATTGACATTTGTATTCTAATGTCATTATGTATTTATTGTTCTCTGCACAATATAATATTTCATGTGATTTATTTCATCTTATATGTTTTTTTTTATGTTTGCTACACACACACACACACACACACACACAGAAATGCATGCATATGTGTATGCTCGTCTTTTCTCCTGTGTATTCATCTGTTTCTGTCTCTCGAAACACCCGTGTCGTATGGTCTTTCTCCTTCCAAGTGTGTTCTGGGTTTCTCCATCACCAACTGTCACTTGACAAATACATGCTATTATAGCTATTCTTAGACCACCGTACAATATAACTGGCAGAATCCTTGTTGTGAGCCAAGGGGCAACACCTCACTCGGAGTAGGTGCAGCCTCACTCCTACATCATTACTTCTTTAAACCAATCTTTCAAGTTGCAGTTTATGCCAGTTACTCTGTCTGTGGCAAGGTGTTGGCTCCCTTCTGTTAACCTCAAAGATGTTTGTGATCATGTTCCGATCTAATGTAGGTTGTGCCCATTGGCTGACGAATGATCAGATATTGAAATCCCTGTGTGATACGTTGTTTTTTAAGTTCTCTATAGGAGAGTGTCCAACCCTACAATTGGTAAACCAGTCCCTCCCCAAGTCCTATTAGGTCATCTTGACATCCCTCTTGTGTCTGGGCCACAAGAAGGATGCAGCTGTGGGAATTCGGTCTCTTGAAAGCCTGTCAACTTGGTGATAGGGGAGCCTGCAGAAGTACTCCCGTTTGTAGGACTCAAATTCCTCCTTCTCCAGCGCCTGTGGAGTTGAGTCTTGACTGTGACCGTCAGGTAGCTTTGGGCCCTCCTTCATTGACAGTTGAGACATCCCTATCTAGCGTCCTTAACTCCCTGGGTGACCTATTCTCCCGGTCTGAACCTCACCACAGATACACTGGACTGAGCCCGACAGGCCTTCCGACTCCATTCTGTCTAACACCAATGTGGCCTTTCTCTCCCCATCAGGAAACCTCACCTAAAAGAAATGACGATCCATTTCATCCCGAACAACATGGCAACCGGTCATTTTATCAACAGGTAATGCTCTCCGTACTATTCCTCCCTCTCAGGACTTCCAAGGCCCTGTGCTACTGGTGGGAGTCCGTGTCTTGTATTTGATAGCGAATCAGTGGCTAAGGAGACGAATCCCTCCATCCGTCATCGGTGCCTCCTTACCAGCGACAAAAAGGAAGAACATCAGTGGCCACTCTGACTGCACGAGAC